TCTGTGTCCGACATGGCACAAGCACTGGGCACAGTCGTGACCTCAGCCTGTCGCCGTTCTGCACAGCAGTGCCCTTGACACAGCCTCGGCTGCCTGAACTCAGACGCTAGGCGTGTTACTCGGTCTAATACTTGGTGACCAGGTCCAAAATATTTTCTTCTCAGCTTGTTTTGTGGAACTGAGTAATCTGAAAGATTTCTAGATGTGTTTTTGTTGAATTATTTTTTCGAAGCGAGCCGCAGAATGGAAGGGCAGTTGGCCTTCAAGCGCTCTTTAGACAGCTTCTCACGTCAGCGGCGCCATGCAGGGGGTGATTCAGCCTGTCACCTCCTAAGAATTTGGGGCATATCAAATTTCAGTGTTGTTCTTTGTTCATTTTTTGATTTTTACTTTATTTTAAACCTCCTGTTTTCCTTTGGCCCTCTCCTCTGGCTTGTATGTCTAGTATTATAATTATTATTATTATTCAGACAGTAAAATACAAACAAGCTTAAATCTTAAACTATTTATCAGACTGCTGAGTAGGAAACTTCAGTATACATACTCCATGGCCAGTGTCACTTTAAAAGGTTTTAACACCTATTAAAATCACATTAACTTTGAAATGCCAGTTCTGATGGAGAAAAGCCACTCCAGGATCAGAAGATATTATCAGCATCTAAATGAGCCAAGCAGTATGGCAAGGAATTACAGATGACATTATTATCTACAAGACAAAATCAGAAGGCCTCAGGCAAACCCCATGGGTTCTTATAAAATCAGATTTAACATTATTTATGACTCTTCTTTGTTTTCTGTCATTCACATAATTGGAAAAGTGAAATAGAGACAACAGATCAGACCAGGGGTTTTAGATAACAAAGAGTTTGATTGGCCATATTGAATGACTACTTTAAACAATGCAGACAGCTGCTCCCAAGCAGTCTTGGCCAATTGCATTACATTATAACAGAGGCCCAGCCTTTGTCCATGGCGAGGGTGGTCAGATCCACACAACAGGAAAAGAAAAAATCAATAGAGCGAATCTCAGACTAACATACTAAAAGCTACAGTCTCTCAGCATAAAATACCTAAATAGCGCAGCCCTGAAGAGGTACGTGCCAAACATACGGCCTTCAAAACCAGGAAACAAAAGGATGTCAACATGTTTCAAATGCGTTTCCAAAAGTTCTCTGCCCTTGAAACTGTCCAGAAGAACATGCCTCAGGCTTTTAAGGCAATTCCAAAAGGCAGGTTCTAATATTGCAAGTTTGGCTAGCATTGCTTATGTTCTTATAGATGCTAACTCAGACGTCCTCAAACTACGGCCCGCGGGCCACATGCCGCCCGCAGAGGACATTGCGGGCCACATGCCGCCCGCAGAGGACATTTATCCAGCCCTCCGGGTGTTTTTGCCGCTACTGCCTGTCCTGCTTAGCAGCCGACTCATCCCAGGCCCACAGTGCGCACTCTCCAACGATCTGAGGGACAGTGAACTGGCCCCCTGTTTAAAAAGGACCCCTGTTAACCTATCAGAGAATAATTCGTTTATGACCACACTATTATCTCATTTTAGAGACTAGAGCCAAAGGCAGCCTTAAGGCTCCTTAAACCAGTGTTTTCCAAACCACAGGTTATATAAACTATTTTATAATACAGCAGGAAATATCAGAGTGTATCACATTTAGTTAGAGAAAGAAATGGGTAAGAATTGTCATGAATCTCACTTTCCCCAAAGAGGTGGGCTGGATTAATGCCTGTTGGGCTTTTTGTTTTTAAATGGACAGCTGGGAAGGCCTACAGCTATGAAAGATTCAATACGCAGCATCCAAGCATTGGACAGTCAGTGAATATAGTGTCTTTGAACAGACAGAAATCCTTTGTCTCTACACCTTATATTCTTTGATTACAGTGAGTTAGTTCCTCCTTAGAGAGAAGGGGACTCCTCACTGGGAAGTACTTTGTAAATATAAAAGACAACCCATTCCTTGTTTTCATTATGCTTAATGTAAATGCTGTGGAAAACATCCATAATTGCCATGCATCTCCTTTGTGGAAAAAAATCTGCATGTTCCTAAACTCTGCTACATCTGTTACATGTAAAACATTTCTCCTGATAATTTTGTGTTACTTTGCTCCTGCTCTTTGTAGCAGCTGTGCACTGCTAATGACTTCCCTTATTAGTTAGCTCTAGTACCGTCTTGGATTTGAAGCATACAGTGTAGAAAAATTTGGCTTTTCAGCAACCTTCTATTAGGCTAACGGATGATGTTTATATCCATGGTCAAGGTGATGGAAGACAGTTGTCTGCCTCTGCTATTATTCTAAAGAAGGATAATTTAAATAAAATTAGAGTTCACAAATAACTTTGTGGTGGTCATACATATCTGAGCTAGACAATGGTAATTAGCTGGGCTGTGTGTTCGTGTCATTGCAGGACTGAGTCTTTACATTAGCTTGCAGTCTCGTGGGTATAAAGGGAGGCTGTCGGGCCCACAGCGTATTGCAGATCACGGTGGAGAATGTAGTTCTTGGAAATTCCTGTCCCTCCTTTAAGACTTGGGTGAATCATCTTCGGCTGTCTAATGCCTTCCTCTGTTCCTCCATGCTCCCATCAGTTTTTTCAAGCCTCTTTTCCATTAATCATATTTGACTGGCATTATCTTTTTAAATATTTTACTCAGCCACAGACCTGTGATTTATTCAAAAAGAGATACTATTTTACATCCCAATGCCTAGGTCAAAATCTGGAATAAAGTAGATGATTGACGAATTAGTAAAGAATGAAATCTTTATACCTTTTTCACATTCTTCATATGCTTGTTATGAATATGTCGGTCATTATATCTGACAGTGGGTTTGAGGAGGTAACGGTGGCTGTGGCTAGGGAGTGAGTAACTACTTTATGCCTTTGGACAGATATAGTATGTTCCTTTCCTTCTAAACTGTGTCTAAAATCTCACTGTTTTCTTCACTAGGAAGTCCAGCGCTGTACGGCTGATATGAACATCACTGCAGAACATTCCAATCATCCAGAAAACAAGCACAAAAACAGATACATCAACATTTTAGCATGTGAGTAATAAACTTTAAACTGTCTTCAACTGCGAGGAAATTAAATTTTCATGCTGGGTATAAGCTGAAAGCCAAGCAATCAGAAGCAGGATGCCAAAAATGATGGTTGTAAGCTAACCTCTCATTAGCCCGTCTTCAGCAGTGTGTAGGAGGAAGTGGGGACACTTTCTTCCCTCCAGTCTTGCATTTCGCTGTCAGATCTCAGCGAGCTTAATAAGGTGACTGAAAGAAAATGTTTTGAGCTTCACTGTTTTCACATGAAATGCGGGAGCCACAGTTTGAATGTCACTTGGCTATCTTAATGTTGGTTTTAACCTGTGAGGGCCAAGTGTTTTTACTACAAATAGAAATATTGGGAATTGAATCAAGTAAGCTGACTTTTACAGCAGTCTTTTCTTTGTTTTTATTTCAGCATAATATTGGGGTACAAATATTTAGGTTATATATGTTGTCTTTGCCCCAGCCGAGTCAGAGATTCAAGCGTGTCCATCCCCCAGACAGTGTGCACCACACCCATTAGGTGCGTGCACCACACCCATCCTCTCCTCCCCCCACCTGCCCAACACCTGATGAATGTCACTGCTATATATGCACATAAGTGTTGATCAGTTAGTACAAATTTGATGGTGAGTGCATATGGTGCTTGTTTTTCCATTCTTGTGATACTTCGCATGATAGTTTCCTTGGCTGTGCAGAGGCTTTTTAATTTGGTCATGTCCCATTTATTTTTGTTGTTGCTGTTGTTTTGTGATTGCCTTTGGGGTCTTCATAAACTCTTTGCCTAAGCCAATATCTGTAAGAGTTTTTCCAGCATTTTCTTCCAGAAATCTTATAGTTTCATGCCTTAAGTTTAAGTCTGTTATTCACCATGAGGTGATTTTTGTGAGAGGTGAAATGTGTGGATCCTGTTTCAGTCTTCTACATGTGCCATTCAGTTTTTCCCAGCACCATTTATTGAATAAGGATTATTTTCCCCAGAATATGTTTTTGTCTGCTTTGTCAAAAATTAGATGGCTATATGAGGATCGTTTTATATCTGAGTTCTTAGTTCTGTTCCATTGGTCTACGTCTCTGTTCTTGCGCCAGTACCAACCTGTTTTAGTTACCATAGCCTTGTAGTATAGCTTAAAGTCTGGTAACTTGATGCCTCCCAATTTGTTCTTTTTAATCTTTGCTTAAGATTGCTTTTAATCTTAATCTTTGCTTAAGATTGCTTTTGCTATACAGGGTCTTCTCTGGTTCCATATGAAGCATAGAATTATTTTTCTAGATCTGTGAAAAATGATGTTAGTATTTTTTTTTTTGAGACAGAGTCTCATTTGTTGCCCAGGCTAGAGTGAGTGCTGTGGCGTCAGCCTAGCTCACAGCAACTCCTGGGCTCCAGCAATCCTCCTGCCTCCAACTCCTGGGCTCCAGCAATCCTCCTGCCTCAGCCTCCCCAGTAGCTGGGACTACAGGCATGTGCCACCATGCCCAGCTAATTTTTTCTATATATATTAGTTGGCCAATTAATTTCTTTCTATTTATACTAGAGACAGGGTCTCACTCTTGCTCAGGCTGGTTTCGAACTCCTGACTTCGAGCAATCCACCCATCTCGGCCTCCCTAGAGAGCTAGGATTACAGGTGTAAGCCTGTGGTGTTAGTATTTTGATAGAGATTGCATTGAATCTGTAGATCACTTTGGGTAGTACAAACATTTTAACAATATTGACTCTGCTGACCCCTGAGCTTGGTATGGTTTTCCACCTGTTTATGCCCTCTCCAATTTCCTTCCTCTATAGCAGTCTTTTCTAAGACTAAGTAATTGGGCTCTACGTTAAGTGATGGGCCTCTAGGCCTTCTGGCCCATGTGCTTAGCCCTGTCCAACAAATTTCCAGGGTCAGGAGTATCCTGGAGGTTAGGAACTCAAACAAATAGGCATTTTTCATACAAAGCCTCAAAGAATCCCTAGGATCAAAAGCTACTTTTGTGGCTAGATGACCACATTTCATGGACATGTGGGGGGGGGGGCTTGAGTCACTGGCAGATGATAGCTGTATGTTTTGATATTAAGGGCCAGGGCACAGATATTATAATTACTATACAGTATGATAAGGACCACATAAGACAGAATTTTATATAATAGTATATTTAAATTGGATCACCTATAATTTGAACAGTACTATATAGTTTTTAAATAAAGCTTTAGTAATATACAATTTATCCATTTAAAATGTACAATTCTGCAGGTTTCAGTATATTCAGAATTGTACCATCATCACCACAATCTAATTTTGGAACATTTTTATTTGAGGTGTGCCCTTCCCCCCCTACAATGCTCACTGCATCCATTAGTTGTGAGTTTACCCATCCCTAGCCCCTCAATCCCTGAAGAATATTACTACCATGGGAGCACCTTAGTGTTGATCAGTTAGTGCCAATTTGATGGCGAGTACACGTGGAGCCTATTCTTTCATTCTTGTGATACCTTACTTCAGAGGATGGGCTCAAGCTCTATCCAGGAAAATATAAGAGGTGCTAGATCACTGTCATTTCTTATAATTAATATTCCATTGTATACATATAGCAAATTTTATTAATTCACTCATGAATTAATGGGTACTTGGGTTGTTTCTACATCCTTGGAATAATGAGTTGTGCTGCCATGAACATTCAGGTGCAGATGTCTTTTTTATAGAATGTCCTTTGTTCTTTTGGGTAGATGCCTAAGAGTGCTATTGCTGGATCAAATGGTATTTCTATTTTTAGCTCTTTGAGGTATCTCCAAATTCTTTTCCACAGAGGTTGCACTAATTTTCAGTCCCACAGCAGTGTAAGGGTATTAATTTTGGAACACTTTTAGTACTCCCAAAAGAAAACCTATACCATTAATTGGCCCTCCCAATTCTTCCTTCTCCCCAACCCCAAGAAACTATTTATCTACTTTCTCTGTGGATTTGCATATTCTGGGCATTTCATATAAATGGAATCATATAGTATGTGACCTTTTGTGTCTCGCTTCTTTCATTTAGCATGTTTTCAGGATTCATCGATGTTGTACTATGTATCAGCACTTCATTCCTTTTTTGGGATGAATGATACTCTACTGTATGGATGCATAATATTTACTCATTCAGCATATGATGGATATTTGGGTTTCTTCTATTTCTTTGCTATTATGAATAATGCTGCTATGTATTCATGTACAAGGCTTTATACTGACATATATTTTCAAGTCTTCCTAGGAGTAGAATTGCCAGATTATATGGTAACTCAGTTTAACAATGAGGAACTACCAAACTGTTTTCCAAAGCAGCGGTTCCATTTTACCACAAGTAATATATGAAGGATCCAAGTCCCCACATCCTCACCAACACTTGTTATTTTGTTTTTTTGATAATAGCCATCCTAATGGGTGTGGCATGGTATGTCATTATAGTTTTGATTTGCATTTCCTTAGTGATTAGTGATGTTGAACATCTTTTCATGTGTTTATTGGCCATCTGTATATCTTCTTTAGACCCTTTACCCATTTTTTTTAACTGGATTACTTTTGTCTTTTTACTGTTGGATTGTAAGAGTTCCTTATATATTCTGGATACAGATCCCTTATCAGATATATAGTTTGCAAATATTTTCTTCTATTCTGTACATGTCTTTTCACTTTCTTAATGGTGTCCTTTGAAGCACAAATTTTTTAAATTTTGGTGAAATCTAATTTCTTTCTTTCTTTCGTTGCCTGTACTTTTGGTATCATATCTAAGATCATAAAGATTTTATACCTGTTTTTGGAGTTTTATGGTTTTAGCTCTTACATGTAGGTCTTGGATCCATTTTAATTTTTATATATAGTATGAGGTAGCACTCCAACTTCAATCTTAAGTATGTGGATATCCAGTTGTCCTAGTACTGTCTGTTGAATTACCTTAGCATCCTTATTGAAAATCAGCTGACCATAAGTCTAACGGTTTATTTCTGGACTCTCAATTCTGTTCTACTGATCTGTATGTCTAGCGTTATGCCAGTACTGCACTGTCTTGATTACTGACTGTGTAGTTTTGCAATAACTTTAGAAATTGGGAGCTGTAATTGTCCTGGCTGTTCTTCCAACAGTGGTTTATGGTCTGCATTGTACAAGTGTTGTGCTTCTTTTGTTAAATTTATTCCCAAGTATTTTATTCTTTTTGATGCTATTGTCAATAGAATTGTTTACTTAATTTTATTTTTGGATTGCTTGTTGCTAGTGTATATAAATACAATCGATTTTTGTATATTGATCTGGTATCCTACAACCTTGCTGAACCCATTTATTCTCACAGTTATTTCTTGTGGATTCTTTTGGATTTCTATATACAAGATGGTATCATCTTCAAATAGAATTTTACTTCTTCCAACTAATGTTTTAAAGTTATTTTTGAATAGGACTGTTTGTTTCACTTATCTAAGAGAATATAACGGAGGTAAAAAAGAGAACGGGGAAGAAAGAGTCCAACTTTTTTTTTCTCCCTAGTCTCTGAATGGATTGATTGTGGCAGTATTTGTTGGCCAACTCCGTCAATGCTCACTGTACTGTGACTGTGAGGATTTGTCTATCCACATACCTCCTTTCTAACCAGACAAATCAGGCAGCAATGTATACATACCTATGCCTTATCTACATCACACATATCATGTGTGATGTAGATAAGGCATCTCTCCACCGTAGCCACCTTTACTTCAAACGACCTTACTGCCTTGGCTAAAATTATGTGGCCAAGGAGGAGAAAATCAAAGCAATTTCTGTGTGAACTTCTGTGTGTTGTGCCCAAGGGTCAGGGTATTTTGCTTCTTAGAAACCCATCATCTCTGGTTAAATGTTATACATTCACAAGTTCAGAGAGTTGGGTTTTAGTGTTCTCTTGGCAACTCATTCTGGGCATGACATGTGCCTTCATCTACCCCTATACTAAAGCCTTTGTAAAACAAAAAATAGCATAGGAATGTCATGAAAGCACGTGAAATCACACTATGAATGTGCCAGAAACATATGTGGATGTCACCCTCCCATATTGATCTATTAACCTGTCTATTACTTTTTAGTTAAATAAGAAATTTGCAACTTCAAGAGTATGTCCCATTATTTGTCAGTCTAAGAAATAACAGTGTGTACTATAATGGCTACTAAGGCATTGCAGTTTGGATCCAGATGCCTTAGGAGAAGTTTTTCATTTGGGGCCTATTTATATCAGGCAGCCCCTATTTCATGTAATCCCTAGACTGAGAGTTTTCCAGAATAACGAAAGCCATTCACAATTCCAAGAATGTAGGGGGCTTTCAAAAAGTGCTTAGTGTAGTCTGAGGTCAGTCATGTCTAGGCTAATCCACTCATTGGACTTCTTAATTGCCTTTTGCCCAGTCTGTTTCTTTTATAGCTAAGGAAAATAAAATTGTGACATCAGCTTCCTTTTATTTCCTTTGGCCATCCTCAAAACCAGGATCACTCTGTTGGGCAACTAGAGACACATTATCATGCATCCCTCCACCTGTTATTCATAAGCTGTGGTTAAACGGACCCTCAAATCTGATCACTGACTTCGGATTCCCGTAATGAGATTACTCTTAGAAAGTCTGGTTCCCTCAGTAACGTGGGTTCTATTGAGGTGGCAGGGAATCCAGCTGAACTTGGCAATGGAATTTCCTGGAAATAGATACTCTGAACGTGATATAAGTCACCTTTTTTTTGAATCAATGGGGAGGGGATGGAGAGATGAGTAATCAAAGACATTTGAACTGGGTTTCAAAATACAGGACAAGGAAATTTTACAGGATTGCAATTTCACATGAACTAATAAGGACCTTAATTTGCATCTTGGATTCTCACAGGTCACAGCATGGGGTAGAAGTGGCCCTGTAATGTTGAGATGGGTTCAGGGCACTCTGGGTGATGCCACATTACCTGATTGCTTTGTTTTGTGCTTTAGAATGCTGCTAGTTTCTGAATTATACCTTTTGTTTCTGCTTTTTTTCTTTCCTTTTCCTCTATAGATGATCACAGTAGGGTGAAGTTAAGACCTTTACCAGGAAAAGACTCTAAGCACAGCGACTACATAAATGCAAACTACGTTGATGTAAGTCACAAATGTCTTTATAAACCTGTTTCTGGAAATTGAAGACTGCAGCAGAAACTGCTGAATATATTTTAATACTGTACAGAGCTTTCACTAAAAACACAGCCTATTCGATATGGAAGGTACCTGAATTATTAACTGGTCTTCTGTGATACTGCTTTCATCTTACTTTGTGCTATGTCATCTCTGAAGGGTTACAACAAAGCAAAAGCCTACATTGCCACCCAGGGGCCTCTCAAGTCTACGTTTGAAGATTTCTGGAGGATGATTTGGGAACAAAACGCTGGAGTCATCATCATGATTACAAACCTTGTGGAAAAAGGAAGAGTAAGAGCCTCTTGGTTTACTACCTTAATCATGCACCTTCGTTCAAAAAATGTTTCTGGAGTACCTGCTGTAGGGTGGGAACCTGAGCAGGCGTAAAGAGTTATAGAAGTGAAAAGCATTCTCTCTGCTCTTCGCTTGCTTATGGCCTAGTAGGAAGACAGTGATGGTATTGTAAGAGTAAATTAAATGTGGTGATAGAGATGAACCAGGTATTAGGGGAATGCTGTACAGTCAATGAATACAGCCTCTAGGACTGAGATTTTTGTAAAGGAGCTAATATTTGAGGTGAGACTTGAGAAACAGTGAGGAAGAGTTACAAAGGCTAAAAAGGGAAGGAAAGGGCATTCTTAGTATAGGAGACAGAAAGAACAAAAAGCAGGGAAGTTGGAAGAAGCATGGTATATAGCCAAGGAACTGCTAATAGTTCAAACTAGGGGAAGCGAAAATTGCTTAAACAAAAATGATGACTAATGTAGAATGTATTGAATTATGAGCTCACATTAGACGATGTTTACTTAGGCTGGAATAAAGGCTAAGGTTCAGGTTTCCTGCTCAAAATCACTGTTGCTTTACTTTATAGAGTTCCCGTTCTGCCTTTGGTGACCCAAGTTGTAACATGAAGATTCTCACAGTTACAAGAGACCTTCCATAAATCCAGCCCAGCCTCTAAATGATACTAAAACTCCCTTTATAACATCTCCTGCCCCCTCATTTCTTAGAGGTCAGACATACAGGTTTCTTTCCTAGGCCCTCTTTAAAATACATCATGTATTGAAAGACGATGATATCACCTGAGCCCAGGAGTCTGAGGCTTCAGTGAGATATGATTGCACCACTGCACTCCACTTGGTGATAGAGTGAGATCTTGTCTCTAAAAAAAAAAGAGAGAGAAAGAGAGATGATCATAAATACTTGGTCCTTTTCTCAGATGATCTTGTCCCAAGCCATCAATCAACCTCTTCAGAGGTGACATCTGCCTTTAAGCAAGTCAGCTCATGTGTTACTTTTTCAGTCAAGTAAATAAGTCTTACCTATTATTTTAACATTATTTGAAATTACATTATCTACAGAATTGTGCCATAAATGGCAGTTATAATTGACAACTTTTTTCTTTTTTTTTTTTTTTTGCAGCGAAAATGTGATCAGTATTGGCCAACAGAGAATAGTGAGGAGTATGGAAACATTATTGTCACGCTGAAGAGCACAAAAGTACATGCCTGCTATACTGTTCGTCGTTTTTCAGTCAGAAATACAAAAGTGAAAAAGGTATTGAAAGAACTGGGTAGGCGGCCAAGGCGTCTCTTTATACTTGTATGAAAATCACTTTACAACCAAGGCCAAATATCACAACCAACTTGGTTTTTAAAAAGTATTTTTAAAGCATTTTTTCACAACTCTTTTGATTGACAACAGAGGATGGTGTGAAAGGTACTGGCAAAGCACATAATAGAATTTAACTGGCCTGATTGAGTTCCTTAATCTTTTCATAAACAAGGCTTGTTTTTTTAATCGTCCTCTTAGGTTTTGGTAATACTCTGCAAATATGGCAGCATCCGTTTGATTTAGCTTTTTAAGTCCAATTTTCTGACAACTTTAAAGCATTGTTTCCCACTGTGGCCTGTAAAAGTCTGATTCTGCTATTCAATAAGAATAGGAAGTGAATGCTATATAATGCGTATCTCCCCCACAACTGTAGATATTTACAGTGAACAGAAGTCACCAGAGTGCTAGAGTTAAGACAACTACATAACTGTTTTGCCTAGTATTTTCTACTGCGACTTCACATTAAAACTCTTTTCTATAGAACTACTAATATCCTAATAATCATACTCTATGGAAATACTGCTTTCAAGTTGTCTCAGCTTACCTTTTTCAACATCCACTGTTACAAGAGTCACAGATAATCACAGCAGTATGATAGTTCCACCCCCATCCATGGGGGGTGCATTTCAAGGCCCCCAGTGGATGCTTGAAACCTCAAATAGTACTAAACCCTATTTATACTATGTTTTTTCCTATACATACATGCCTATGATAAAATTTAATTTATAAAGTAGACATAGCAAGAAATTAACAACTAATACTAAAAAAGGACAATTATAACAATATACTGTAATAAAAATTATATGACTATGCTCTAGCACGCTCTCTCTCAAGACAGAAAATATTATATAGCATTTTCAGTCTATGGTTGACCCCAAGAAAGCAAAACCTAAGATGAGGGGTAACTTCATGAATTTAGAAAAATGCTCATTGTTACCCCACAGAAACTTAGGTATGGCAGTTGCTTGTAACAATGGGATCTTAAATCTTTTTTTGGCATCTTGGATATCTTTGAGAATGTGAAAATGTTGTAGCCTCCTTGCCCCAGAAGAATACATGTGTACTTATTTTTTTATGTGCAAGTTCAGTGGCTCTGAAGCCCATTCTATGCTCCAAAGGTTACCAGTCTTTTCTGTGTAGTTTCCAAAAATGGCAGAAATAGTATGAAAATCAGCAGCACTATAACCGCGTTCTCTATAATAGAGCGGTTGGCTGGCTCCTTCTTACCAATAACCAGTGTTAAACTTACAAAGCCCAACTCATAGAAACCCTTCGGGGATTTAAAAAGAGCCTACTTAGTCTTGTTTTAGAAACAGCTAAAGTCAGAGGAAGAAGTCATGTAGGAACTTTACGTGTTTTGCACATTGACAAGGAATAAAAGTAGAAAAATGAGAGTTAACAGAAGAATTAAAAATTCAAAGCCATCATGGGCCAGACACCCTACAAGCTTCAGTGTTGACTGATTAATGACCTCAAGTCATCCAAAAACAGTATAAATTTTAGAGGCATTAGTAATACGAAAATATATCACAGCAAGTGATCTGTGTGGGGAAATTTGTCATTCAAAGTAGTTAAAAATGTAAAAAGTTCAGTCACTTAAAGGAAGCTACTCTAAAAAAAAAGTCATTTATGAAAGTGACAGATAAATGAGATGTTGCCTCTAACTCTAGAGACTGAGAAACTTAGCACACTGGCTTCTGAAGGTCCCACCTGAACAGCGGAGCCGGAGTCATGGCCCGTAGGCAGACAGAGACAAAGCTCTAGGCCCGTCTGGGGTCAGGGAACAAAGTCAGGAAATGGAGGCCTTGTACGAAAATGACAAAGTGCTTTGGATAGTTCCAAATCCAAAAAACCAATATTAAATGTTCATTCGTGGTGCAATCTTAAACAGCCTCCTCTTCTAAGAAACTGACGCTTCATATCCAGCCAGGGCAGCGTCTCCATTTAACAGCATGACAGTTGGCCACACAGAGAAATGACCTGGCCTAGGAACGGTGATTAAGGTGAATGAGATCCAAGGTCATGTTTCCTTGACACCTTATGTCATTTTTATCCAGAATGCCCACCCTCAGCTTAAGGACATCTTCTTTTTTTAAATCTTTCTCCTAGGGTCAGAAGGGAAACCCCAAAGGGCGCCAGAACGAAAGGGTGGTGATCCAGTATCACTACACGCAGTGGCCTGACATGGGAGTCCCCGAGTACGCCCTGCCTGTCCTGACCTTCGTGAGGAGATCCTCGGCCGCCCGGACGCCAGACATGGGGCCCGTGTTGGTGCACTGCAGGTGGGCTGCGGCGCAGGGCGGGAGGTGGCCAGAGAGTGGACTTGGGCTCTGCATTGCTCTGTTTGACCTAGGAGCCAAGTTTTCCGCTGAAAACTGGGACGACTAAAACCTGTTACAGTCCTAGAGTGTAGTAACGGTATTTCCATAACATTAAGAAATCATCTGGCCAGGTGCGGTGGCTCACAGCTGTAATCCTAGCACTCTGGGAGGCCGAGGTGGGAGATCGCTTGAGGTCAGGAGTTTGAAACCAGCCTGAGCAAGAGCGAGACCCTGTCTCTACTATAAATAGAAAGAAATTAATTGGCCAACTAATATATATAGAAAAAATTAGCCGGGCGTGGTGGCGCATGCCTGTAGTGCCAGCTACTCGGGAGGCTGAGGCAGGAGGATCGCTTGAGCCCAGGAGTTTGAGGTTGCTGTGAGCTAGGCTAATGCCACAGCACTCACTTTAGCCTGGGAAACAAAGCAAGACTCTGTGTCAACAAAAAAAAAAGAAAAAGAAAAGAAAGAAATCATCTGCTGCTTCTGCAATTTAAAAAGAATTCTGCTTAACTAGATGAAACTCAAGGTTTTTATAAAATCATCTTATTAATAAAATCCCTATTGTGTATAGGGAAATTGTACACTGATCTAATAAATAAAAATCTGACCTTAAACACAAGTTAAGGTCTAATCTCTCCACATTAGTTATTTAGAGCTTTTGTAAATGGCTTTTCTGAAGATTTCTTCTAAATAGTAATAAACTTTTTAGTTTGTAAGTACCATATAAAATACCTTTTGGAAAAACACTGGGAAGGCCTTATATGAAGCCTGTTTCCTCACAACTACCTTAAACAACATTAGTTGGCTGTTTAAAAAGTGCTTCTATTGTGTTTCATTCATAATGACATTCTTGGCTTTACTTTTTTTTTTTCCTTAGATGTGGCTTATTATGTGATTTATGTTGCATGGCATTTTCTAAGCATTTTGGGGCTGTTCTTACAGCATGCTTTCACAAAGCAAGACCTCTGCAGAAGTTGGAGCCCATCTTCTGGCTTGAAATCCCATGAGAATTTGCTGTTTCGCTGATCCATTCAGGAATCACTAAAAGATAAAAGTCTATCAAATAGCTTCGATACCACCAGAGCTGTCTGAGATGGGGAGCCTGCTGGGGGATTCTGCCAAAAGCAGCTTGTTTAATTCAGTACCATAGAATTCAGATCGCATGGGTATCTTTTTTAGTAACAATTAAGAAATGTGACTAAAAGAGGCCAAATTTTCCAGATGTATCATCTCCTTCTACACTGAGATTATTAAGAGAAAGCACCCTTTTAAATAGAAACTTTCTCATATTGAGGACATTATTCAAGTTATAAACTACAGGTTTAGAACTAAGGGAAGTGTACAGAAAAGGGTTTATTAGAAGGATAGTGGGTACTCACAGAACCACCAGGAGAGTTGGAGAATCAAACACGTGTCTAAACAGCAAGGAAAAACTCCCTGCAGGACGTATCAGCAGGTCTGGTTGAGGGGTAGAGATAGCTGCTGCCACAAGAGACCCCTCTCAGTCCCTTGTATCACCGAGTTCTGTGCCATTGCTAGAGCTGCAAACGAGGCTGGGAAATCACAAGTATACAACATTTTTCTTCCGGCTCCTGTGGTCCAATAGCAGTCTTACAAAGTAGGAAATGTCCTAATTCAGTTTTTAGGTGCTATCTTTGTGAATAAACTACATCAAGTATACCAGCTCATCTAAACAATGGAGTGGTTTCTAAATTCATCAGATTATAATCTTTCTAATCCACAGTTAACAATACGGCAAAGCAAAAAGTACTAGTTGAGTGTCTTCCTGTCTTCCAGCGCTGGCGTGGGCAGGACAGGCACCTACATTGTAATCGACAGCATGCTGCAGCAGATCAAAGACAAAAGCACAGTTAACATCCTGGGATTCCTGAAGCATATCAGGACACAGCGCAACTACCTCGTCCAGACTGAGGTAGGGGCTGTGCCCGTGCCCTCCTGAGATTCTGGCACGTGCTGTAACTGACACTTGAATGATACCAAAGAGACAGATTCATTCTTAGGGCTTGAAGGGATTTCCAGGTTTGTATTAGACAATATCCTGACCGTGATATTGTGGATCACAGTTTTCCATTTCTGTGTGGATCTTAAACATTTGGGTTTCTCAAAAACTACACAAGCACTTAGGAAGCTGTATCAAGAGCTATGTTAGATACTATGGGGCAGTTCAACATGTTCTCTGGTCTGAGAAATACATAGGAGAGGATGGTTCGAAAGCCCTTCATTGAACACATTCTCGATTGCTTTCTGCATTGAACCTACTGTTCTAGGTGCAGTACAGAATACAGAGCTAAGTTTAACACAGTCTCTGCCCTAAAATAAGTTAGGTATTAGAGCAAACCGAGTGAGTATTGGAGCAAACTGCCTAGCTATAAATGCTTGAAAGGATTCACTGGGAGGTCCCCATTAGGGGCAAAGTTAACCTAAGGTAGACATCATGAATGGTTCACACCTCCTCAGTGACTACTGTGTACTATACCTTTTAGGAGCAGTACATTTTCATCCATGATGCCTTGTTGGAAGCCATTCTTGGAAAGGAGACTGAAGTATCTTCAAATCAGCTGCATAGCTACGTTAACAGTATCCTCATACCAGGAGTAGGAGGAAAGACAAGACTGGAAAAACAATTCAAGGTAGTGCTTTGAATAAATTTCTTTGGTGTAACGCAAGGAATTTTTTAAATGCCTTGAGTTTAGGGATCATGTCTTCTTTGAGTTAATTCTATAGGCTGAAATGGATTACTATTTATATTGTTCGTTCCCCTTAAAATTAATGCAAAGGAAAATCAAGTTTTGACCTATATATGAGTCATTGATATTCAGGTAGATACCATAATGCTGTATTTTCTTCTGAGAAATTTATTGACTTCATCTGAACATAAGTATTAGCCCCTATCGCTTCTCGGCCTTTTGGCTAAGATCAAGTGTAGTATCTGTTCTTATCAGTTTAATATCAGCCCCTGGCCACAGTGACATGACTCAGTCATTCTAGTCCAAAAAAAATATTCTCTATATTTTTTCCTGTCTTACCTTTATTAGGAACAGTTATTTGTGGACATACCATCCTAAAAATATGCCTATTTAAAAAACTATTCCAGGGCGGGCGCGGTGGCTCACGCCGGTCATCCTAGCACTCTGGGAGGCCGAGGTGAGCGGACTGCTCGAGGTCAGGAGTTCGAAACCAGCCTGAGCAAGAGTGAGACCCTGTCTCTACTATAAATAAAAAGAAATTAATTAGCCAACTAATATAACTATACATATAAAAAATTAGCCGGGCATGGTGGCGCATGCCTGTAGTCCCAGCTACTCGGGAGGCTGAGGCAGGAGGATCGCTTGAGCCCAGGAGTTGGAGGTTGCTGTGAGCGAGGCTGACGCCACGGCACTCACTCTAGCCTGGGCAACAAAGCGAGACTCTGTCTCAAAAAAAAAATAAAATAAAAAATAAAAAACTATTCCAGAAGATAACTTAGAAACTAAAAAGAGTTACTAAACAATACCAGAGAAAAGTTAGCTTTTCCTAAATGGTGGTTCTTTTTCTTTGATGGGGCATAAGTTTAGAGGCAATTAAAGTTTATATGGAATTGACTGAAGTGAAGGTAAAAAAGAGAGACTAAAAGGACTATTAAAGCAATTAAGATCAGAAAAGCTCAGTCATCTGATAATCAGAATTTATTGTAACTTTCTAATGTTGCCTGTCTCTCCAGTTACAAAGTACTTTGCTATTTAGTCTTTTAAATTCTGTTTCTTTGCACATTATGCTATATGTAAGTAATTTCTCACTTTGTGTCAAGCTGGAAAGAAGTAAATGAATCTGTGCAATTTCAGTCTTCATGGTAAAACTTTCCATAGATTCTGAAACCTTCATTTGAATCTCAGCTCTAGAAGCAAGACTGCCAAGCAAATTATAACAAGTGAACTGAAATAAAAAATAGATTAATCTCACTGAGTTCAGTCATAACAATAATTTTAAATTTCTTGCTCTCTCCTTTTAACATCCTAACTACAATAAAACCATGAGGTAATTAATAGTAAGGCCTTAGAGGTGGAGGTGGGAGGATTGCTTGAGGCGAGGAGTTCGAGACCAGCCTGGGCAAGAGTGAGATCCTGTCTCTACAAAAAAACCAGAAAACTTAGCTGGTAACATGCACCTATAGTCCCAGCTACTCGGGAGACTGAAGCAGTATCATTTTAAATGTTTAAAAAGTACCAACATTTCTTAAATTCTGCCTTTGATTTCCATTTCTGCAATATTTGTTTACACATATTTTTAAAAAATTCATTGAAGACACCTCTATTTAGTTAGAAACCAGGTAACTGGTTTTATTTACAGGTACCAATCATTTCAGAACTAAAAAACAAAAATCAGAACCTCAAATGAAAATTACATCTGGGGCACATGACAGTACTGCAAAAGCCCTCAGAGAAGGAGACTGTTCCCATAGACTCCATTTAAGATGGACCTCCCCCAAAAAGTAAGATTAACAAAATGGCTCAACCAAGCTACATAAACAGGAAGAACAATCAAAATACTAGGCGATTTACAGCCTTAGGACAATGCCAGTTCAGTTCAACAGAAATGTGGTGAGAACTTACTGAGTTCTCTTTATTTTCAAGAAACATCATTAGTTTCACCATCTTGCTGTGTCACCCAGGCTAGACTACTGTGGCATTATCATAGCTCTCTTCAACCTTAAATTCCTGGGCTCAAGTGAACCTCCTGCTTCAGTCTCCAAGTAGCTGGAACTACAGGCACATGCTACCATGTCCAGCTAGTTTTTCTATTTTTTGTAGATTGCCCAGGCTGGTCCTGAACTCCTGGCCTCCCAAAATGCTCGGATTATAGGCATAAACCACTATGCCCCACCCACCCATGATTAGCTCTTAATAGCATTAAGCAATCTTTTCTGGTATAAACTCACTTGAGTATTATGTGCCAGTGAGGAATTGCTGAAATAAAATTCACAACAGCAGTGACATGTAACAGAAAAATGTAATTCAGTAAATATCTGTTGCATACATAGTACCTATCTGTAAGAAGCCTGACCGTAGAAATAATACAAGGATACAACTAAGGTCACAGAGAAAAGTACCACTAGTGAAACATAAAAGTGTTCTTTGGGGCACAAAAGTGTTTTTGTCCATCAGTAATCTGATTATTGGAATGTTTGCCAAAGCCTCAAGCAAATGCTATCAATTATACCTTTGAATGAAGACTAAAAATGTTGCTTTTCTTTCAGCTGGTCACACAATGTAATGCAAAATATGTGGAATGCTTTAGTGCTCAGAAAGAGTGTAACAAAGAAAAGAACAGAAACTCTTCAGTCGTGCCATGTAAGATCTTAAAATCAGTATTTTTTTAAACTGGATTTTCTGTACTATGTAAAGAGGCAGCTACTACCAAAGGGAAAATGTTGTGCTCAGTTCAACTGAGGCAGTTTGATGAAACTGGGCGAGATTGCTGTCAGTAACAGCAAGTTGCTCCATCTGACACAAAGACTAGCTTCAGTTTACCTCAAAATGCAAGAATTAGGTTACTTCTACAGTATTTTAACTTAAAATACAATACTAAAGCTGTTGTCACTGTGGCATTTATACTTTTAAAACTTAGAGTCTTAGATTAACATGTACAACCAGAACTGCATCACTAAATTACTGTGCCTCTTGAGATCAAGGCATTGTTCATTGGTGGCGACTTTTGTCTAACTTGGGACACGGCACAGGACACTGTGTACACGCTGAAGACACTGGCTTGGGCGACCATTGGAGACCTTTATCTCTGCTGAAAAAAGCCACTGTTCTCTAAGCCCATCATGGGCAGGGAGAAAGGGGTGGAAAAAGAATGGAGTAGAATATGTTGGTACAATTGTAGGAATATCAAACTAGGGTCAAAAGCTACCTAAAACCCTCTGTCATGTCTGTACAGAGTAGTCTCTTAGCGATCTGCTGTGAAAACCTCTCCCACAGTAAAATTTTATTCCTATAATGCCTGTGTCCTTCTGGGTATATGCAGCAAAATTCCATTTTACATTCTGCTTTAGCTGATAACATTAGTTTATTTTAAAATATAGATAAGACTCAGAAAGGAAAGCCAGGGGAATATGTTATTCATCAAGTAAATCCCAAAGAGCGGTTGGTTCTGTGTGTATAATACGGCAAATGTGGTGTTTTTGTTTTTTCCATATGATAGCTGAGCGTGCTCGAGTGGGTCTTGCGCCACTGCCTGGAATGAAAGGAACAGATTACATTAATGCTTCTTATATCATGGTGAGAGTCAACAGTTAATTATAAATGAAGTCAATCAAACTGAAAAGTGTTAAAGAGCAGATACCACCTATGTGAACGAAATAATTCTTGATGTGTATGGAGATTTCTTGTCTCTTGAAACTTTTAACAAAACATTCCTAATCAGTGGGGGGTACAAAAATGCTTAAATTGAGCAAAATGCTTCTTAAGGAATTAATTTTACTGTTAATTTCACCCATCTAGTTTTGAATAAATGTTGAAATTACTGTTAAGCAAAAACAGCAGGGATAACTAGAAGTGAATTGCACGTGGAGAGAAAATTGTCTGCCCGTGTTAGCAGAAGTAGATCTAAAAATTAGCCAAATGTACTGAATGCCTTTCTCAATTATTCTCGTGCACTCAAAAGAGTGTTGTCTTAATTCATGAATATATTTTACTACCACAAAGTTAGAATGAAACGCTTTTAATCACTGATTTTCATCTTCTCCATTGAAGGGCTATTATAGGAGCAATGAATTTATTATAACCCAGCACCCTCTGCCACACACTACGAAAGATTTCTGGCGAATGATATGGGATCACAACGCACAGATCATTGTCATGCTGCCAGACAACCAGAGCTTGGTAAGTAAAGCACATCTGCTATATATTAATGAGCCCATGAGGCTACAAGCATAAATTACTTTGATACCTTGCCATAGGCCTATAGCAACCGTATATGCTAGGGAGGAAATTGAGACTCCTCGTCCTGAAGTCTGAAGAGATTCCTTTCATAATGTCACGATACCGTCCCTGTCAATTCCAGTATTTGAGTCTCTGATATCACCCTTCAATTGTACCATACGCGGCAGTAGCGTGCGAGGTTTTGAAAGAGGTCCTTTTACTACTAACGCCATTAATATGACCAACCTCTTATCTGCTGTGTGTCACTTTTGAAAAATAATTGTAGCTTGCATGTATGTAAACAAAGTTACATGGATGTAACTGTTTACATATAGTAGCTCATTTAATCCTCTCAGCAATTTAATGACCTGGGTACTATTATCATCTCATTTAATAGCTAAGGAAACTAACATGCCCAAGAACACTCACACATAACTGGAAGCCAAGATTTCATCTGAGTCATCTGTCTCCACAGCCCATGCTTTTAATCACTTCACTATAATTTATATCCTATCCGCATCATAGAAATGTTTTCCAGCAAAAAAAAAAGGGAAAAATTGTTATCAGGAGTATTTTTTTTCCCATTCCACAGGCGTGTCAGATCCACTAAGGGATAAAAGGAAAGGCTATTTTGTTCCAACTTAAAGACCCTTTTAAGACTTTGACTAAACTACTTCTTCCCCCTCCCTCGGTCCTTCCTTCTCCATATAGAGGGCGGAGCAAGTTGATAAACTTAAATGTTTCTGCTTAGATCTTACGTATACTTCGGTTTCACAATTAGCTGGGTCTTCAAAGATTATGTGGACATGTGAGTCCACAAGGTAAAAACAATGAGGAGATGCCTCCATGTGTGTCAGATTAATGAGTTTTTTAATCAAGAAAGAAAAGCGTGTGATTGAACCCCTAGTCTTGGTGACATGCGTTTGACTGTGTGCCCAGTCAGTAGGAACTTCTTCACTTTGTCGCATTTTGCTCCAGCTTCAGGGTACCGAGACTGCTTCTGTATGATGGAATGGCAACAAAGTTGAGAATCTTAAACTAAAAGCTGGAGTGTAAATTTTCAAATTAGCTGGCAACAGGGGTCTATTCTGCTTGGCATGTGGAAATTGGAGGCATTTAAGGTTGTTAAAACGCTCGTTTGTTGGATGAGTCAGTATTTTGTTAGTGCCACTTAACAGAGGGCAATCACCATAAAGCATCTACCCAAGGGCTCATTTATATGGGAGGGGTGGGGGAAACTGGACCAAATAAGTGGGTACACGTTCTGCAGACAGTAAGGACACAGGGACCACGTCTTCTCTGAGGAGGCTAGGCTAGAATCATGCGGTGTCTGCTCTCTCAGCTCAGCGTTTTACCATTGCACAGTTTTCTCCTAAAGATGATCTCTCTGCATTCTTTTTGTTTCTTGTATTATTAGTTATGACTCTATAACTTTATAAGACCATAATTCTGTGAATAGCCCAAAAGTCACTGGTTCTTAACTCAGAAAGCACTGTTGCAGGTGTGCGGACATCTCTGACCTATAAAAATATGTGTAAGCAAAATAGCCCTGAGACCAGAGTGTCTGCTGAATTAAGCAGTAGCATTTATTTTTCTTACTGTTATTCCCTAGTTCAGTATCTATTCAAGTTTTTTTTCTGCCTTTTCTTTCATCATAATTAAAATCCCTTTGCTAACCTTGAGGCTAATTAGATAATTTACTCTTCATATTATCATAATATTTCTTCTAGGTAAGTAGTTTTATTATTCCCACTTTTCAGATATGGAAATTAAGGCTCTGAGAGATTAATTAATTTATCCTGGATACAGCCTATGCTTAATCTGTGCATACTGGTTAAATTTAGATGCCCTGTCCGTCATTACCTTATGTCTTTAATATCTGTTTCCTTGGACAAAACATATTAAAACCCACGACAGTTACAGACTTCTTTTGTATAGACTAAACCCAATTGCTAATCTGTTTCCCCTTATGCTGAGCTTTAAAAATAAAAATGTACTTGGCAATAAGCTATATTGAAACTTGAAAGGGTGATAAGTCTTATTGGACTGTTGGCTCATTTCTAATGCAACAATGTAAGATTAAACAAAGCTTTCTTTGTTTTGAACATTCTTACGAATTATTTCTGACTTCAACGATTGTAGCTAGGCATTTTCAGGAAAGTGCCCCTAGACTTCTATAGGCTGTGGTTTGCCACTTGAGCTGATGAGGACATTGGGGGGAGGGTAACATCATCATTTTTCTCACAGTCTCCGACCTATGCCAACAATTAACTTTTTCTTAGGCATCCATAGTTTTCAGGGATGGAATTCAAGTACCAAGCTTTAATCTTAAAATGGATGAACATTTAAAGCTTGCCTGATTCAAGGCTAAAAGACTTTCTACCCTATTCCCTCCTGAAATCTAACTTTTCTTTCAAAGAGTGCCTTCTACTTACAGCCAACACATTTATTTATGTACAACTTCTTTGCAAAAAAAGTTCTATTTTTTACAAGTTATTAGCAGTGTGATTTTACACAATTTATGGAACCCCCCAGGGGGTTTTCTTGTCCTCACTTGTAAAGACAGATGATAAAAATCTCTTATCTAGGAGTTAATATCCAAAATTTATTAAGAACTCATGCAAATCAAAACCACTATGAGTAGGAAAGAAATAACAGAGGACGTAAACAGGTGGAAGACCATACCATGCTCGTGGGTCGGCAGTATCAACATTGCTAAAATGTCTATACTACCCAAAGTGATCTACAGAGTCAATGCAATCCCTATTAAAATACCAGCAATATTTTTCACAGAAATAGAAAAAATAATTTTACACTTCGTATGGAACCAGATAAGACCCCATATAGCAAAAGCAATCCTAGGCAATAAAAACAAAATGGGAGGTATAAATTTACCAGACTTCAAACTATACTACAAGGCTATAGTAATTAAAATAGCTTGGTACTGGCACAAGAACAGGGGCATTGACCAGTGGAACAGAACAGAGAACCCAGATAGAAAACCATCCTCATATAGCCAACTAATCTTTGACAAAGCAGACAAAAACATACACTGGGGAAAAGAATCCTTATTCAATAAATGGTGCTGGGAAAACTGGATGGCCACGTGTAGAAGACTGAAACAGGACCCACACTTTTCACAAAAATCAACTCACGCTGGGTAACAGACTTAAACCTAAGGTGTGAAACTATTAGAATTCTAGAGGAAAATGTTGGAAATGCTCTTCTAGGCATTGGCCTAGGCAAAGAATTTATGAAGAAGACCCCCAAGGGCAATCACAGCAGCAACAAAAATAAATAAATGGGACCTGATCAAATTAAAAAGCTTCTGCACAGCCAAAGAAACTGTCACAAGAGCAAACAGTCAACCTACAGAATGGGAGAAAATTTTCCCAAGCTAAGCATCCGATAAAGGGCTGATAACTAGAATCTATTTAGAACTCAAGAAAACCAGCAAGAAAAAAAATCAAGCAACCCTATCAAAAAGTGGGCAAAGGACATGAACAGAAACTTTCCAAAAGAAGACAGAATAATGGCCAACACACATATGAAAAATGCTCAACATCTCTAATCATCGGGGAAATGTAAATCAAAACCACAGTGAGATATCACTAATCTCCTGTGAGAATGGCCTTTATCAACAAGTCCCAAAACAGCAAATGTTGGTGTGGATGCGGAGAGATAGGAACACTCCTGCACTGCAAACTGGTTCAGCCTCTGTGGAAAGCAATATGGAGATACCTCAAAGTGATACAAATGGTAGATCTACCATTTGATCCAGCAATCCCGTTACTGGGCATCTACCCAAAAGAACAAAAGACACACTATAAGAAACAACGGTGATCTAGCACATCTTGTATTTTCCTGGATAGAGCTGCAACCCATCCTACTAAGTGAAGTATCCCAAGAATGGAAAAATAAGCACCACATGGACTCACCAGCAATTTGGTTTTACTGATCAGTACCTAAGAGGACATATAGGAATCACATTTATCGGGTGTAGAGCGGAGGGATGAAAATATACATACGTAATGAATGCAATGTACACCGTGTCTAGGGGATGGACACGCTTGAAACTCTGAAATAAAAAAATAAAAAAAAAAAAGGCTGGGTGCGGTGGCTCAGGCCTGTAATCCTAGCTCTCTGGGAGGCCGAGGCAGGTGGATTGCTCGAGGTCAGGAGTTCGAAACCAGCCTGAGCAAGAGCGAGACCCCGTCTCTACCATAAATAAAAAGAAATTAACTGACCAACTAATATATCTAGAAAAAAAATTAGCCGGGCATGGTGGCGCATGCCTGTAGTCCCAGCTACTCGTGAGGCTGAGGCAGGAGGATGGCTTGAGCCCAGGAGATTGAGGTTGCTGTGAGCTAGACTGACGCCACAGCACTCACTCTAGCCTGGGCAACAAAGCGAGACTCTGTCTCAATAAAAAAAAAAAAAAAAAAAAAACCACTATGAAATATGCGACCTCACACTCCTGAGGATGGTGATTAATAAAAAGTGAAAAGATACCAAATGTTGGTGAGGGTGTGGAGAAAAGGGAACTCTCATACAGTGTTGGTGGTAATGTAGACTGGCACAACCTTTATGGAAAATGGTATGTCTAAAGAAACTAAAAATAGAACTACCATATGATCTGGCAATCCTTGCTCTGGGCATATACCCAAAGGAAGTGAAATCATCACCTACCTCATCAAGACATCTTTTCTCCCGTGTTCATTGCAAGCTTATTTACAGTAGCTAAGGTATGGAAATAACCTAAGTACCCAACAATGGATGAATAATGGAATATTATTCAGCCCTAAAAAAAAAGATCTTGCCATATGCCACAATGGGGATGAGCTTACAAGACATTATGTTAAGTGAAATAAGCCAGACCCAGAAAGAAAAATATTACATGAACTCACATACACGTAGAATCTTTTTTAAAAAAAAGAAATAAAGAAATAAAGAACAAAACAGCGATTACCAAGGCAGGGGTTGGGTAAGGAAGAAATAAATAGGGCGATGGATGCCAGATGACACTGAATAACAGCCACGTTGGATGAACAAGTCTAGAGAGCTCATGTACAACATGAGGATTATAGGTAATAAAATTGCACTGTATTTGAGATTCACGGTAAATGAGATTTTAGCTGCTCGTGCCACAAAAAAAATATATCTATGACAGACATGTTAATTTGCCTCACTATAGTAACCTTTTTACTATCTATACATATCCCATATATCATGTTAAAACATGCACAATAAAAATTTTTCAAAGTATATTGTAAGTATTAAATAAGATACTGTTTATGAAAGTCCTTTGCAAAATGCTACTCAATTGTTAGGAAATAACAATTAGCATGTCTTGGTTGCTTAAGCGATTGTGAAATGATAATTTAAAATTAACTGACCTAGATTTTGTCTCCTTTATTACTATGTCAGTTGTATTACAGAGCATTTCTTAACTGGGGGTAATACATCCCCTTTAAAGGAAGTATTTAGGGTTGCTACGGTGACAGGTGAGAGGTGCTAGTAAATGGTTAGTATCAAAATATGTTTTACAGGAGAATATAATGACCATTGAACATGGCATGATTAGATGGGCGTATAATTGTATGAATTCCATTTAAACGATGGTTTGAGTGGTATGGGAAATGGCAAATATAAGAAATCAGTTTGCAGGAAAATTCAAAAAGAAATGTTTGATGGCACTGCAGAAGTTTATTTATTTTTTTGGTTCCCGAAGGCAGAAGATGAGTTTGTGTACTGGCCAAGTCGAGAAGAATCCATGAACTGTGAGGCCTTTACTGTCACCCTTATCAGCAAAGACAGGCTGTGCCTCTCTAATGAAGAACAAATTATCATCCATGACTTTATCCTTGAAGCTACACAGGTAACCTAAACCTCAGCTCCTCAGTAATAGCACATACCTGAGCCCTGGATCATCCTTCTAAGAGTTAAGTAATTCACTGCCCTCAAGACATGCTCAGGCATTTAAGACTTAATTTTAAATATGTACATTTCCCTTTTTTTCCTTCACATATTTGCTTTTTCCAGCTGGCTAGATGAAATGTAACAGTTCCTTTGATTCAGCATGCATACAAATAGGACTACTGACCTAATTATAAAAACAATATACTAGACCTCAATATTTTCTTTGCCATCAGAAACGTAAGCCTTGCAGTGTGTTGCAGAGACGATAATTATTTTTTTTGTTGTTAGTAAACATTTTGACGTATAATAGCTGCCTTCTTGTGGGATGGGTAAGGCAGGAATCCCTCTTTAGTAATTTAAATAATGATCTCTACCCCTTATTTTTTTTTTAATTTTAATTAAAAAAATAAGAACATAGAGCAGGATACAAGGTCTCGAAATACTAGCATGACGTGCTCATTTTTTAATGGCAGGCAGACCTCCCTGGTATTCTTCTTACCAGCTGCTGTTTGGTTAACCTGACATTGTTCAAAATTATAACATATGCTTGCCCCCAGAGCAAGCTCCAGTCGTCAGAGTACAGGTATGTGAAATAATCAAGGGTGGAAGATGATTTGTGTTGCCTTGGTTACAGGATGACTATGTCCTAGAAGTTCGACACTTCCAGTGTCCCAAATGGCCTAACCCAGATGCCCCCATAAGCAGCACCTTCGAACTCATCAATGTCATCAAGGAAGAGGCCTTAACAAGGGATGGCCCCACCATTGTTCATGATGAGTACGTATCCGTGTCTTAATTGTAAGATGCAGACATTTCTCTTGCTGAATTGCTATCGTGGAGGAAAGCGAAGACAGAATTTTAAAACCTACTGACAATTCCATGTTATTTCTTTTTTTTTTTTTTTTCACTTTTTCTTTTATTTCTGTTCTTAGTTTATGTATCCATGTTATTTCTAATGTGTACTAATATTGTGGTTCAGTATACACTTTAATATGTCAAACTCTCCCAAGACTCCAGGTTATTCTAGAGTGTATGTTCTAGAAAGCAGAGGATACTATTAATATATCTTAGCATGCAAAAGTAGACTTGAGTACTTCTTGAGGTTTTATGTTTTAATAACTAATAAACAGTAAATAATTAATTTTAAAACTGTGTTTACATTAATTAAATAGTTATTTATCTTAAAATCCTTACACTGAATTTCAGCAAATACTTGTCAGGGAGGAAGCCATGTAAAGTATGGATTAGTTCACTAGTAAGGATTAAAGCTACTACTGATAATATTTAGAATTGGTGATATGTTTGAGAGTTTACAGTACTGTCTTTTGGGACTTCAAGGTAAAGAATATGAATCTCAAAGAGAACAAATAACTTGCACCTGGTCTCAAAGTTTCTAAGTGTAAGAATGGTATTCCTTTTTGAAAAGGGTCACCGATATACCTTATGGGATATGCCTATTTGGAGTCAGACTTCATGCCTGTAAGTCCATCGTGGAACCCGGGACCATTAGAACCTCACCAACCTTTAGCCAATACGGAACCAATCATACATCCTCATTTCTATTTTAGTTCCAAGGTGGCTCCCGTGGTCAGCAGATTCTCAGTGCATCCATTGTGTTCATTAAATTACCAGCTACTCTAGTCACATAAGGTATTAACACATGTGATAGTAAAACTTACTGCTAAGTCTTTTGTTTTCCCTGCACTGACACGGTGACATGAGGCCCACAAAGACGCTAGGCCCACGTCGGCACCCTGCCCTCCAATCATAGCAGCTTCTACTTCTACCTGAAGAGTAAGCCACGTTATTGGCTATTTCCAAAAAGTTTTGCCCTCTTTCCGGGGAAACAGTGACTATTTCAAAATGTTGGCCTAACTCTTAATTAGTAAGATTAAAAATTAAGATTAGAAAAGCATTAGACTTGAAACATTAATTAAGTAGCACACAAAAAGTGATCCCTGGAAATGAGACAACCACCAACAGCCAGTCTCAAAGTAACCGGGTAGCTGCTGTTGGTCTGTGGAACTTTGTGGTAGGCAATTACAGCATAAAGTTAGGGCTACTTCTAGAGATTCTCCCTGCCCCCCCAATCTGGATCTGTTCTTCAACTGCCTTCTGGGTTTTACCAGCTCGTATCGACTCAGGCCAGATTCTAATGTTGCTGCCCAGATCCATGACTAATTTTGATGTTATGGTAGTAACCTGAGGAATTCTGTCCTGACGTCAATAATGCAGCTAATCAGGGGAAGGAAAGAGGGAAAGAAAAACCACCATCACCAGTTAAACAGTAAACAGAACTGTTTGATTCATTTATGTATATACAGCTTTTGGGTATATTTATCTTTTTCAGTGATTTTCATTTTATGTCACATGCTGAATATGCCATCTCTGTAATTAACTAAATGTACCTTGTCTCAAGCCTAAATATGAAAAAAGCATATTAATCCTAAACCAGTAAATCTGCAAATATCATGTAGGTGGCCTATGTTAAAAGCCACCTATAGAAATGTATTATTCATTTATCTTCCACCTGCAGAGGATAAGTTGATTCCATAGAAATTATTTTTCCACATTACTCAAGACAACAGTTGCTAGCTCCAGTATAATAAATACTCTGAACACATTACTTCTCAGTTTCCATCTCACCTACTTTTTATACCTCTAAACACCCCTTGCTGATGGCCTACACACACCTCAAACTCAGCATCTCCCCTGCCGGACACTATCCCACTTAGTTGTACAAACAGAAACACATTCGTCCTCTTTGAGCCTCCTTCACCTCCACATCTAACTGGCTACCCTGTCTTGTTGGTGCTATCCAGTCTTTTAACAGACTTTTCAAAATCTTTTATAGTCTGGTCTAAATTTACTTTTCTAACTATCATCCAAGTCCACCACTGAAGTACTTCCTGCGGACCACCTTGCCCCTGCAGATGCTACTTCCTCTGAGCACCATTTCATTCAAAAGTCACCCTCTTTGACACCATCTCTAATTCATCCCAGAGGTGCCAATCAAAATCATTAATAGCACATCCTTCCCAATGCATACCAGCTAAATGTCATTCCTGTTTATCATGTGATGCTACAACCATTTGTGTGCATGGCTGCCACTCTCGCACTGCTGAGGCCGGCAGTGCTGACTAATTCACCCTAGTCTCCACAGGGTGAAGCCCCATGCTTGGGCCAGAGTGGGTGCTGGATAAGTATTTGCATGAATGGGTACTGTGCTTTCAAATGACTTACAAAATAAGATTATGTACTTCTGTCCCCAGAGAGCCTTACTTTTTCTCATATTTACTGTTCAAAGTCATTTTGCCTGCTTAAATTCTTCTGTGAACCATAAACTAGTTTACAAAGTGTTTTCAAGCTGTCAAAAGTAGAGAATGAGCAAGCTTAGAAGGCCTGTATACATCCGATATTGAGGGAAACAGCTGAACTTTGAGTGCACAAACTTCATGATATCTATTTGGTCTTCACAGATCATTTCAACACCTACTTTCGGGGTTCTATGTGCCCATGGATGACCTTTCTAGATAAATCAGCTAAGGAAAAAAAAATCCTTCACCAGAAAAAAACCTCATTCTGTTTGAGGACAGGCACAGCTTAAAGGCAAACTGCATCATTCTCAGCACCCTACTCAGAGGCTAATCTTTATCATCACTGTCAAAATTTAGAAACAACCTATGTTCCTACAGAAGATGTTGGAACATAAGCATGGTTCGTACACAGTCTTATATGCAGTTGTGGATTAGATTTTCACCCAAATTATTTCCTTTACTCATAGAATGAAGAATAGTTTCCTCTGCAAATAATTATTCACCCTGGAGATAAATCTGTCATCCTTTTGAATATCACAGCAGGCAAATTTCAATTAATAGTTCTCAACATGTGAGCTGAGAACCACTGGGGGAAGGGTGGAATCTCCAGGGCCCTACCAGGAGATCCAAGAAGTCAAACCCACTTTTAATAACAATAAGAAAGTACTACATGCCTTGTCCCCTGTCTCATTCTGTCATGAGTGGTCAACAGAGTTTTCCAGAGCTACGTGAAATGTGATGACATCATCACCCTAAGGGCTAATATGTGTTCTTATATTCTAACATTGCCTTAGTTTTAATTTCTGATAGAGTAAATATTGATAGATACAGCCCAAATAAGCAAAAGCTCTTTGGTGATCCTTAGTAACTTTTTATTTGGTCCTGAGATCAAAGAGTTCAGAGATTGCTGAGATATTCTATAAGATATACCAACTGCTGCAAAGACACCCACACATCATAACTAATTTAGTTATTTCTTTTAATCCTCAAAATCACCCCACTTGGAAGGTCGTTTTAGGAGCCCCACTTTCCATATGAGAAACTAGGCAGAATGAAGTTAAGTCACTTGCCCGGGACCTGTGTATACATGCAGTTAGTGAATATCACACCCAGCTATATGTTAATAACTGGTGATGTCCAGTGTAAATGAAAATGCAGGGCCCCCTGCTCAAATGTCAAGGATTTCCAGATGGCAACGGCAGAGCATGAAACGAACTGCAGGACCCTTCCGGGCAGTCGGGCCCATCGAGACCCAGGGCCTGATGCGCCTGCACGGGTGGCCAGCCAGGAAGCTGGCCGTGGTCACCGTCTATCAATGTCTGACCCCACAGGTGAACACCGCCTCCCTCTGGTCCTCACAGTGAGCCTCCTGCACGCGTCTCCCTCACCTCTTCACATTGTGCTTCAAGTTTTTCCTACTGTATTTTCTCATCGACTTCCCAAGTCTTCCATTCTTCCCCAGGGTTGATACCTATTCAGGCCTTAATCCTTTGTTTTCTTTCCTGCCCTACTGATTTATGAGGGAAGCTTCACTTCCCTCACACTGCCGGCATTCTAACTCTAGATTACATTCTTGGTTATGAGTTTTAAAACAAAGTCTTAAAAGCAAAAAGCTGTAATAACTGTAAGTAATGATATTAAATAGCAAAACATATGATTAAACAGGCACAAGTATTATGTACACTGACTATACAAGGAACCTCAATGTGTTTAAGGTGAATATAGACAGAGCACTTACAACATTACTGTACATCAGGCACTTAAAGTACTTTAATTTCTTTGAGTACAGGCAGGGAAAGATGAAAAAACTTCTGATTTTTTTCTTAATATCACTAGTTAAACAAGCATTACTTTTAATGGAACCCTTAGAGGAAGTGGCAAACAAACTACCAAAACCAGTGAATTTATATTCTACTTTCATTTTATCTGTGTTATGGATTCCTTGCATTACTATAGCACCAAGTCCCTATAGTTTTAAGTACAAAGTCACGAAACTCAAAAAACACCCTTTAATCCTACTTAATTCCTAAACTTCTGAAAGATAATGATCTTTATTTTTTCCTAACTTTATTCTTTCATTATAATGCTTGGTATGTAGGGCATATTTAAAAGTATCTGTACATTTGATTGATTTGCCTTGCAGTTTCATAGTTTCTTGCCATATTTATAGCCTTGTTTATAGGAAAAGCAACCCACAGAAAGGCCAGACTAATCCCACGTGGAGTGTGCATTCCTACCAACAAAGATACACATTACCTGACTTTTCTGAGTAGCTAATTGCTTTAAGAAAGAGCTAAAGACTGAGTGTGGTGGCTCACATCTGTAATCCTAGCACTCAGGGATGCCAAGGCAGGAGGATCTCGAGCTCAGGAGTTAGAGACCAGACTCAGCAAGAGTGAGAACCTGGTCTCTACTAAAAATAGAAAGAAATTAGCCAGTCAATTAAAATAAAAAAAAATT